TGCTGCCACCAGAGGGTCAGGCCGGACTCTACAGGTGCTGGTCATACTAGGGCCCTGGCGGAAGGCATGGGCTTTCAGAGGAGGCCACCCTCTTTGAGGTCTGCCCAGCCTGCAGGGCCCAGCCTGGCGAGAACGAGGGTCTAGCTGGGAGGAGGGATCCTTTGCTATGATGTCAGGGTCAGGGTCTCTTGAGTTATCCAGGAGCAGGTTCCCTGAGCACCACGTGCCAGGCACACAAGGCCCTCAAGTGTTAGAATAAACGAAGGAATACAAACTCTAAGAACGCAGATTGATAGGACCAGGGCTTCCTTCACACTTGACCTTGATGGAGGGGAGCAGAGCTTTCCAAACAGGTACCCTGAGGACCTCTGCTCCTAGAGTTAAGGTGTCACCACTGGAGACAAACCATAAGAGATTCTTAACTCTAGGAAACAGACTGAGGGTTGCTGGAGGAGAGGGTGGGGGGGTTGGGGTATCTGGATGATGAGAATTCAGGAGGGCACCGGATGGAATGAACACTGGGTGTTCTAGACAGCTGATGAATCACCAAAATCTACCTCTGAAACTAATAATATACTATACGTTCATTAATTGATTTTAACTGGAAAAAAGAAAAAGATATACTGTACTATTTAAAATGAGGAAATAAGCACACAGCAATTACCGGACAAATTCACTTGTGGAAATCTTTGGGAGATTTCTATCCATATCTCACGGGACTAGTGTCCTACTGAACCCTATTTTGGAAAATGCCTCCCAAAGTTGCCCACATGGCCACCACGGCCCCGCACTGCAAACCCTCCACCGCCTCCAACACCACGGGCACCTTCTTGCCCCCGGCACAGCCTTACACTCTGCCTGCTCCTGAAAGGCCCTTTCTTTGCCTGCTCCCTTTCCATGGTCCGTCCACCTTAAGTCCCGTCCACTCCCAGGAACCCCCACAGTGGGACTTCACCGCTTGCTGTTTGAGCTCCTCAAATAGACGGCCGCGGAACCGTGCTGTTTCTTTGTGTCCACAGCACAGCCCTGGGCCAGGCTGGTGGTGTTCCAGGAATGCTCAGTCAGTGGGTTCAGGCTGGGGCAGGTGTGCAAACTGCCCATGCCTTGTGGGTAGGTGTGAGGCTCGCCTCCTAGCCACCTTCTCTCTCCTCTAGCCTCCAGCCGGGGTCATCAGGGGTGGAACAGTCGTACCCCACCACCGGGAAGGAAATTTCTCCACCTCAGCAGCTCTGTTCCCTTAATATTCAGGGAGCACGGACCAGAGGGAAGGGAACCAATGGATCTATTTACATGTTCTCTTCTTTTGAAGTGAAACCAGGGGCATTTCCTTATTTAATTATTAATGCCCTAAATCAGATGGTGCCCAGTACGTTAACCTCTGTCACTCCGAATGGAGTCGGCCTAATAACCGCTGCGGCGGCATCGATTTTCCCTCAGTCATCTCATGAGCATGTGTCTTTGGGATCCATCCTCTGAGAGTGAGCCTGGGAAAGCCCCATTCACATTCACAGCGAGCGCCTCCCCCCCATGGGGAGGGGGGTGGCTCTTCTCTGGCCCCTCTTTGCTTAGCCTCAGTGAATTGTCTGAGACAAGTAGAAATACTTTTTCTAAAATCAGTTCCTGAAAAGAACTGACTGGTTGGGCCTAGACGCGACCCCACCTTCCAGAAGGTTCCGTGACATGTGGGCAAGATGAAGTAGGTGAGCTGGAAGAGCTGGTGGGGTGACATGGGAAGGGCCGTCAGCGCTGGGCCACGTGGCCCAGACCAGAAGCTATGTGAGTGGAGCGCACCCAGAACCCAGCAGGTGCGCAGCCCAGCAGGGGTGGAGGGGCCAGGGGGTCTAGCTGATGGTCCTCAGACACGCAAAGTTGATGATGACGGGGCGTTGAGGGTAAGGGGAGAGATGTGAACAAGGAGCAGGAGAGACCAGTCTGACCTGGGGAAGGGAGGGCAGGTGATAAGGTTGCATGTTTTAGATTGGGTTCCAAGAAAAAGTCTGAGGGCAGAGGGAATCCCAGGGGAGACTTCCACCCTCAAGCTGCATGTCCTTCTTCCCCGCTCCCCTCCCATGCTTCCACAGGGGCCGCTTGGCCTCAGATGGGGAACTGTGACTGCTAGTGGCAGGGTTAGTCCAGGCTTGGGTGTGAATGTCCCCCACTCTGTTGGCTTGAACACAGCCACATGGATGGAGGACTGAGGCTGCCTCGCTGCCTGTGTCCTCGTGCTCCCCGTCCACCTCCCTTCCCCCCTCTACCTCTCTGCACCTGGCATCCAGGTGTGAGAGTCAGCTAAACTGTCCTGTCCACATCTGATGCAGAGAGAAGAGGTTTTCATGAAGATTTTTTTTTAAAGATTTTATTTATTTATTTGACAGAGGTCTCAAGTAGGCAGAGAGGCAGGCAGAGAGAGAGGAGGAAGCAGGCTCCCTGCTGAGCAGAGAGCCCAATGCGGGGCTCAATCCCAGGACCCTGGGATCACGACCTGAGCCGAAGGCAGAGGCTTTAACCCACTGAGCCACCCAGGCGCCCCTTGCATGAAGATTTTAAAAGATCTCCCAATTCTAGCCAGGATCCCAGTTACCTCCCCTCTCCCACCCCTCTCCTGTCACCATGGATCAAAAGGGGGCCAGAGAAACACTCTGTTCTAATCCAGGCAGCTTCATCCTGTGATGTTCTAAGCTTCATAAGTTTGAAGATGAGGTCATGGGGTCCGCCTGGAGATTATAGGAGTGGGCGATTAATGAGACACAGCCATGGAGAGAACCAGAAGGAGGCTTTCTCTCCCTCTGGCATTCTGATGTTGTGCCTTTCTGAGCACTGCGTCTCTTCCTTTACTTCCTTAATTAATTAATTAAAAATATTTTATTTATTTATTTGACAGAGAGAGAAAGAGAGAGAGGGAGCACACAAGGAGGGGGAGTGGCAGGCAGAGGGAGAGGGAGAAGCAGACGCCCCACCAAGCAGGGAGCCCAATATGGGGGGTTTGATCCCAGGACCCTGGGATCATGACCTGAGCCAAAGGCAGGGGCTTAACCCACTGAGCCACCCAGGCGCCCCATATTCCTTTATTTAATTTATTTGCTTGTGGGTCTGCACAAACCCCATCTTGGAGACGATGCTTATCGTATACTTGACTCTCCCCGAAACTTTATGCCAAATCTGAGCAGGTTCTTTCTCACTGGGCCTGTGGATCCTCCTCAAGGAGGGGAATGGTCTGAGCCACCCTCAGCCCTAGTGGGAGCCTTACTGGGCTCCAGGCTGTGCCCTGCTTTCTGTGGAGTGGCCCCTTAGGTCTCCGAGGACTTGCTTGGGGGGCTGAATAGGGAGAGGAGATGAAGGGCTGTGACCTGTGTACTCCTGGACTTGGCAGATTGATGTGGAAACACCAGAATTCCTTTTCTCTTTCCGAACAGATTTTCAAAATACGTGTAGCCGGATTATTTTCAGATCTTAAACAGAAAAACCTCATTAATCATTAATTTGGACCCCTACAGTTACACAGAATTTGTGACCATTTGTTTATCTTTGAAGGAGCTGCTAAGAAAGAGTTTAGTGAGGAAATTACTGGGGATGAGGAGGAGAGTATTTAACCTTTCACGAAGACAGGAGCTCTATTTAGCTTCCTTCTGGGTACAGATGGGGGTGTGTGTGACAAGTATGTCACTCCTGTCTGTCTCCGAGTCGAGTGAGTCCTTCCTTGTCGGCAAGCTCGGGGCCAATGGACTGGATCCTCAACCATTTCAAGCCTGGGGACCCCTTTCCAATGTCAAAATATTTTCTATGCCATCCCCGCCCCAGTTATTAGAAGTTGTATCTTTTAGTGTGGCAGATTGGGAAGAAATGCTACTCAGAATTCAGTAAAGCTTTTAAGCAAATCCTGATAGCATCTGTGGACACATGAAAAATAGAACTATCTTTCTGAGTCAGGGTGTTCATTCATTCTATAGCTGATTTTTGACCACATACGGATTCCAGCTCTTCTGGGCTAGTTCTCCCCCCTACCCTTAGACACCCCCACCCTCTGCAGGTGGGAACCCTTGGGCAGTTCTCTAAGTCTATAGGACCATGGAGCCCTGGAGTGCTAGGGCAGGAAGGAGCCCGGGGGTTATGCTTCCTCGAAGCCCCCCAGCAGGCCTTTGTCCCTTGGTGGGAGTGACGTGTGCATCAAGTGGGGTGTCAGCAGCGGATATTCCATAGCAGCAGGAGCAGCAAGGTCTGCTGGCCTTTTGGGTAGCCTGGAAGGGTTTTCCCAGCTCAGCTCCCCACCTCCCCCCTTTCTTCTCTTTCTTTGTTGCAGGAAGGAGTCGGGATGGGGCGGGGGGAGAGTGGATGTGCAAAGCATATGGGAGCTGAGGGGGAAGGGGCCCAGGGGAAGACCCTGCATTTAAAGGCCAGGAGTGGGGCGCCTGGGTGGCTCAGTCATTAAGCATCTGCCTTTGGCTCAGGTTGTGATCTCAGGGTCCTGGGATCGAGCCCTACACGGGGCTCCCTGCTCCACGGGAAGCCTGCTTCTCCCTCTCCCACTCTTCCTGCTTGTGTTCTCTCTCTGACTATGTCTCTGGCAAATAAATAAAATCTTTAAAAAAAAAAAAAGTCAGGAGTTATTGGTCTCAGCCTGGGCTTGGGGGCATGGGGACACCCTGATCTTACAGCCAAACGTCGCACATGTGGGCATTTTTCTGGAGAGAAGTTCTTGAACTTGCGTGAAATTCTCAAAGTGGTCCACGAGCCAACAAACTTTCAGAAGCCCTGGCCTGGAATATCAACTTTTCCCTGACTCAGGCTTCCCACTCCCCGGTTACTCAGAACTGGTGAAGTGTAGTCAGAGCCCACAAGTGTGAAATATCAAATACTCATTACATGACGTTGGGGGCAAACTTAGTCTGTTTAGCAAGTCTGTTTTACCGCCTTGTGTGAGAAGTATCAGTGGCGAGCAGATGCCTGGGAAAATGGTCTGATTCATGATGCTGCTTCCTTTGTCCCCCCTGACAGGGCCTGGGATGGCACTCTCTGTGACAGAGTTCATTGTCTTCTCCCTCCTGCAAACCGCCCTGTCCCTGAACCCCGAGGACCCCAACGTGTGCAGCCACTGGGAGAGGTAAGATATGGGTCTCAGACAGCCGAGCGTTCCCTGAGGGCATCTCCCTGGGGCTTGGTACCGTTGGGACAAAAGCAGTCGGGAGGTAAGAAGCTGCCCGCCTCGGGCCTGCAGTCCAGCTGGGGAAACAGTGCAGGAGCTGGAAGAGGACCAAGCAACGGCGATTCTGTCTACACTCAGGGCCGTGAGAGCTCTAGGCGGAGGAGCTTGACTTAAGTGATGCTGTCTGATAGTTCACAAGGAACTCTTGTCCCTCCCTTGTAAAATGGCCATTTTACAGACAAGGAAGTAGAGGCACAGAGGGGCTCAGTGCCCGCCCATAGCTAGGCGGGGGGCAGTGAGTGACTGTGGTCCAGATGTGCTTTTCTCCAAAACGGTGACGTCTCGCCTGGTCCCCCAGGTTTGGTGTCAGTGCGGTGGCTTAGCTATGTGGGCAGAGGGCCGTCAGCCCCATGGAGGACCGGTGAGGGGACTCTGCGGCTCCTGGCCAGGGTGGGTGGGAGGGCTACGGGGGGAAATGCAGCCCAGGGCCTCGGCAGAAGGGCTGGCTGCATTCAGGCTGCCGCACTAGTCCGTGGGGAATGGGCCAGGGCCCTGCAGACAGCTTGACTTTGAAGTCCAAGGTTAAAGTATTGATTTTGGTGAGCAGAGAGATAGTGACCCGAGACCCAATCAGGAAAAAACGAATTAAACCCTGGAATTGATTGGCTGTGCTGACCAGGACGACTCTGCCACTTAGATGTTAATAAATCAAATGAATAAAATTAAGATGAGGGCCCAGTGGGGGAGGCAGATGGGAGAGGACAGGCAAGTGGGGCTGTCCGTGCTCCATGCTTGCGAGGGGTAGTGTCCCAGCCCTAGGGCAGGGCAAGGCGAGGCACCCCATCTGGGCAGTTTCAGGCCCTGCAGGGATGGGCTGCGGAAGCAGAGGGACTGTGCCCCCACTGGCATGATCACCAGGGACCGGGTGCCCTACAGGAGTCCCTCCAGAGTCGGGGCGGGAGTAGAAGGCAGTGCTGCACTGTGCCCCTTTCAGGTCAAGTGGGAGGAACACAAGATCTGACATGAGAAGACGTTGGTTTGGTTCATTCCAGTCTGGATCTTGCCACCTGCTCGTTGTAATGATTTGGGGGAAGTGTCTGAACCACTTTGAGTTTGCTTCCACCTCTGTGGAGTGGGAAGAATAATTACCCTGGCCTCCCAGCCTCGCCGGAGGATCAGGGTGCCAGTGTCATGAAAGGGCTTTCGGGACTGTAAAGGTCAGTTATGGTCTTTTCTTGTTGATACCTCTGGCTTTGCGGGAACAGCTCCTCACAAATTTAGTGCACATCAGGCTCACTGGAGGTGTGGATGACAAATAGTTTTCTGGGTCCCAAATCCTCTTAATTTTCTAGACCTCCCTGACATCAGTGAATTTGGAATATGAAAATACTCTGAACAGAGCCTGCAGTGAGCTGGCTGTCCGCCGAGGTGATCCTTTCATGGGAGGACGGGGACTGACCCTATAACTAAAGTGAGGTCTGGCGGCCCTTGCGGCTTCTCCAGCCCCTAGAAAGGAGGCCTTGTGGGCAACACCCCATGAGACCGAGTGCCTTCTTGGCTGGCCCACCTGAGCTCCGCTGCCAATGACACATGGACAGATGTAGTCTGTGTCATTCCAGAAACATGCCCCGGTCCCCAGTGGTCACTTAGGGAGAATTTCTCAGCTAGATTAGTGCTTCGGGTGGGGTCCTTGTTAATTATGTCCCTCCACCATAAAACCCAGTGGAAGACCTCCCCCGGCTAATGAAGCCCAGCTCTACAAGATTAATCTGGTCTCTCATTAGCATGTTGGCAAGTAAGCGTGTTAAACTGCCCAGCCGTGAAACCAGGGGCACACACTTCGCCCTAGAGACTTGGAGTTGATTCAAGGTCTCACTGCCAGACTTACTCGGCCCAGGACACCCCTACAGAGCCGGGACCGTCCCCTGTGACACTCGGCTTACCCCACTGTCCGGCTGGTGCCTTTTCTCAGAGGACCCACTGTCTCTGTCAGGACTGGAAGGGGTGCCTGAGCACCGCCCATCCCCCGAGTGTTTAACCAAGGCAGGGTGTCCGTTCTGTGTGTGGGTCCGGCTCCTCCTGTCTCCCCCTCCACGGTCAGGGAGGACATGTCCCCAGTGCCTAGTACAGGAGGTGAAGCCCTGTGGTCAATAATAATGGTGGGGGGCACCTGTTAGACACTGGGCAGCCATTAGAAGTCTTATGCATATTATCTTGTGTTGAGCAGTTTCCATGTCTTATCTTGCTTTATCTGCACACCACCCTTTGGGATGGACACTCCTATCATCTTGCTGAATCCTCACAATGACTGCGTGAAGTCCCTGGCAATTTTTGTCATGGATTTACAGGTGAAGAAAGGGAGGCTTCTGTGAATTAAGTAACATGTCTAAGGACACGCTGCGAACAGGTGGCAGGGTTCAGCTGTGACCCAGAGCACATGCACTCTGAGCCCTTCATTCTCCTGCCCTAAGTGAGGTTTTCAGTAGCCGCATGGAAGCATGGGATCGCGAAATCTGAGAGTTGGAAGGGGCCTGTGGGAAGCCCAGGGTGGCTGTTGAGCTGCCTCAGTGTCCCCAAGCCTAGAGGGGAAACCAGGTTTGGCCCGTGTCTGCGTAGATGTGTGCCTCTGACTCACACATCTCTGTTGCGCCGACTGGTAGGGGCTCAGCAGGGCCCCCCTCCTTACATCCTCGGTGCTTCCGGGAACCAGAATTTTCCAGCTCCCTGAGTCCTGTACTTTGCTGACTGCCCCTGGGCCCTCTTTCTGGATTCCAGATATTTGACCTTTCAGGCATCAGGGAGCCTGTTGGGGACCCACTCAGGGAGCTGGCCTGCCCAGCCCCCCTTGCAAGCAAACCAACAGTCTCCTCAGGCAAAGCAGATGGGTTTTTATAGCCTGGATCTGGCCATCTGGCCCAGGTCAGCGAGCCGTCTGGGGGGAAGCAGTGAGAAATACCAACCTACATAAAAATGAGTTCCTGATGTCTCAGCTGGGGCCCCCTCCCAGCCTGCACAGCAAGAGGGAATCTTCCCTTCAGCAGCCTGGCTTGACCACCTTTTCATACAACTCCTGCTGGGGGCGGGCAAGTAGAAAGGCTTACGGGTTAAGGCTGAGCTCTTCCTTCTTGAGACTTCTACCCATGGTTCGGGTTTACAGCTAACGGGCAGCATAACAAGATAGCACTTCAATTAGGAGGTCTGGGGCATGTTCTTGATGCTCCCGCAGCTATCCTGGAGACAGAAGAGACCAGAGGTAACTGGGTGACCTTGGGGAAGTCACTTTTTTTTTCTCTTCTTCATTGTCCTTGTCTGTAAAATGAAGATAGCAATGCCACCGGCCTTATAGGATTGTGAGGATTCAAATGGATTAAAACACTTAACATAGGGCACTCAATCACTATTAGTGGTTAATTGGTACCTTAGTTTCTTCATCTGTAAAATGGGACCACTTACTTCATAAAATTGCTACAAGGATTAGCTTCCATGTATATGCTTTGAAACCCATAAAAATCTGAACAAAGTATTTAAAAGCTTGTTGGCTCTGCCTTCCAGAGCCACATAGAATAAACCTAAACCCTCCTTTATTCTTTCTCTGATAAATGAACAAGTGAACTAGAATTTCAGAAAATGAGCTGGGCCAAAGGGCAGTAAGGGATATGTCTTGGAGGATAGTGGGGTTGGGGGCAGGTTAAAGCCCCCGGTTCCCTGGCTGTGGGCCTGGCTTCCCTGGGGAAGGAGCCACCATCTTAAATACCAGCTCAGCCTCTCAAGTGCTGACCACAGCTTCCCCCTTCTGTCTGGTTCTCAGCTATGCCGTGACCGTCCAGGAATCATACGCACACCCCTTCGACCAGATCTACTACACGAGATGCACAGACATCCTCAACTGGTTCAAGTGCACCAGGCACCGGTGAGTACCTCTCGCGGGCGATGGGGCAGGGAGAATGTGCTGAGCCCTCAGGGCTAACCTTGATGCCAGTTAGTAATGGAGATCTGAGATGCTCTGCTGAGGGCTTCCTTCTGGCCAGAGAAGCTCATGGGCAGGGTGGGCCAGAAGTGCTAGGGAATGACTGCCCTTGGGGGTGTCCCTCAGCCAACGAGACATGGGGAGTTGGTGGGTAAATCCCCCAGCTCCCTCACCCTGAGGGTAGAGGGGAGAACTCTGAGGAACATTCTACACATATCCCAGAACACTGTGAATTGGCTGCCTTTTCTTCCCTGTCTCTTCCCCCCTCTCCTCCCAGTGCTTCCTTAGATTGTCTCCCCAGTAAATAGCTTGTCCTGGAATCTTTGCCTCAGGGTCAGCTGGGGGAACTGCAACCTCAGACAGATCCCTCAGAGTAGGGGCAGCCCATGCCAGGGCAGCTGGCTAGGGGAACTGAGCGCAGGAGAGAGTTGGGTGCCCTCTTGGCCCTTTGTCCAGCCTGCCCATGGGAAGTGCTCAATCTGAATGATAGCCCGTGGGTCTCCTGCTTCCTTGTCTGCAGCCCTCCTGCAGATCTTGCCATTCTCTCATGTCGCTGGGGCAGAGAGGAGAGGAAGGAAGAGAGAACACATGTTATTGGATAATCCTGGGCAAGTTGCTTCATTTGGGGATTCCCAGTGTGCTCATCAAACATATAGTGATCTCACCCTACTTACTCTCATAGGGTCCAGTAAGGTCAGGGATGCTTTGAAAAGTGCAGGGGAAGATGGGGAAAAGCGAGCTATTAGATCCGGGCAAGGTGGCACTATTATTTGGGGGGTGGGAAGCAGCAAATGAAGGGTCCGTGAGCATATGATGGGGAGGCCAGCCACCTGTTAGGTCTCTTGCCTAGTTGCCAAACACTCGTGTTGGTTCCAGATTTCTTTGGCTTCCTCCTCGTGGGCCTTGTCCCTCTTTGTGGTTTATGCCCGAATCACGGTGGGTAGCAAGGTGAATGGGGAAACTTGCTTTATGCTGAAGCACCAAAGGCCTGGTTTTCTTTGGGGTTTTGTTTGTAACGTTTCTGTGAGCGTACACATAATAGCTGCTTTAACATCCTTATTTGCTGATTCCAACATTTGGCCCACTTCACGGTGGTCTTCATTCATTGTCTTTTCCTTTATGTAGGCGGTATTTTCCAGTTGTTCCTTGTGTCTGGTAATTTTGGATTGTATTCTGGGCACTGTTAATGGCAGAGATTTTAGAGAATGAAATCTGTTATGTCCCTCCCAGGAGTATGGATTTGTTGTTGTTGTTTGTTTCGCCAGCCAGTTAATCTGGCTGCATTCGATTTCCAGACGATAAAAGTTTCACAGGTTTTGTCTTAGTGGGACTGCGTGGGACCTGCACTCCACACACACCTTTCTGGGGCCAGGAGTTTGGGCAGAGATTTTACAACAAATATGGCACTTCCTCTTTGTGGCTCTCTCTTTTCTGTGGTTTTTGCTTTTCACTCTCAAGTTCCTGGATCAACCCTGGGGTTGTCTTGTGGTGCTTCAAGTCAGTAAGGCTCTGTGTTTTCTATCTGAATTGTAGCCACCTGGAGTATGGTTGACTCGGGCCTGCCCTTGGGCTAACTTTGGCCCGTGTCATTTCCTCCTTTCCAGTGTCTCTTTCCCTCTAGTACCCACCTTTGTTCTCTCTCTGGTGTCTTATGGTAGTTCCTCCCCAACCCTCCCCCAGACTGTACAGTTTGTTTGTAGGAACTTTGGTCCAATAGGAGCTACTTGGCCATGGCTACATCCCCTTCCCATAGCCGTTGACTGTGAAGTGAAGAGGTGGGACCAAATGCCCCCTTCCAGCTTCCTCAGCTGTGCCAAGTGGGCTGCCTGTGGCCCCAGTCAAAGGTGGAGGCAGAAATCGAGGTCCTGTTCCCTCCATGAGCTCGTCAGGCCCTGTGCCAGAGCCAAGTTTGCTCTGAGGTGTGGCTTTGCTGGGTACTCGGAGGCCGGGGCTGCCATCCATCAGTGCTGGGGGGGACGGTGAGTGAGTGGCTGCTTATTAAAATAGGCTGCATTCCTGGAACATGAATTATTTTGCTCAATTATTGAGTTGCCTTGCAGCTTTCCTGCTAACCTGGGGTGTGCGTGCTGATAGACACACCATCAGTCTGCTTCAGCATGGAATGCTTTGTTTAAATGCAGCACCCCTTTCCTCACAGCCTGGCCCCTGGCCCCTTCCCTCTGCTGCTCCCCACCCCAACAATGAGAGCGAGCAAGCGTGAGAAAACTAGAAGCAGCAGGAGACATCTCTCTCCTGGGAGGCTGGCATGGTGCTGAGACCAGCTCTCCATTGGAAGGGCTGGGGGATACGCCTGTGTGGTGGGACGACTGGGTTGGGTGAACTCTAAGCCAACCCTCTTCTTTTATCTGAGAGGCCCACGCCACCCCAACCCCCTCAATTGCCGGGAGCTGCTTTTCTGTGCTGGGGAGGTAGCTTCAGTTTGAGGCCGGCTTACTTTTCATTATGGGCTTTTGACAAAGTAGAATGACCTTAGTTTACGACATTCCCAAATATCACAGATTTCCCCAGGGCCCTGCACTGTCATTTGTCATAAAGCGTGTGCTTTAAGGACTGGGAGGGGTAGCCCAGCCAGTGCTATGGGGCTCCCTTCCCAAGTTGGCCTGACCCTCCATTGGAAAGCAGGCTGTATGCGTCTCTCATATCTGTCCTCTGCTGCTCTGCCCCCTGGAGGGGGGCCCAAAGGGCAGTCTCCCCTGGGATGTGGATGGGGAGGTGAAGGAACTCTGGCTTCAAGGCCCAATGACTTAGGTTGAATCCTCATCACACATCATGACCCTGGGAAGTTACTCCCGCTCTCTGTCCCTTAATGGCCACATCAGTCTCTTCCATTTTGACCCTAGGTGTGAGGAAGGGGCTTTGCCTATCAATACCCCATTTTTACTTCCTCCTAAGGACTCGGTCCTTCCATCAGCCATTTACCTGGTCTTTCTCCCTCACCATGGCCATCCTGTATAACCAGCTGGCCACCCTGTGGGGACTGGCAGGACTGGCACAGGGCCCTAGTTTAAGCCTAGTGGCTTTGAAATGAGAGTGACTTGGGTTTGAATTTTGACTCTGAAATGGATTCATTGTGTGACCTTGAGTGAGTCATTAACTTCTCTCAATATCAGTTTTCTCTTCCATAAAACCAAAGGAGGGGTGCATAAAATAAGAATAAAAACTCTAACAAGGAAATAAAAGAAAGGTGACATAGTCATACCACGTGCCTCAGATAGAGAATGCAATGAGGTTTTGCCTATAAATCTCTCCGGCACAGGAGGAAGTATCAAGGCCTCTGTCAGCAGAAGGGCCACACCCCACAGTTCTGACTCCCAAGGCAGAGCTGCTTGGGCCTTAGCTTCTCCCTGCTGCAGAACCAGGGCCCGGGTCTGAGCCTTCCTGATGTTGGCATGCAAAGCTCTTGCCCGGGACACGTTATTTTTGGCGTGAGGGAGGTTAATCCACTCTCTGGGACTGAGTCAGACTCAGAGGGCCCTTTGCTGACTCTTCTTCCGTTCTCCAGGTGAGAGGAATCTGTTCCCTGGAGCCCGCGAGCTGCCTCCTCGTTTGGGCAGTGCCCCTGGCAGAGACGCTCTCAGGGCCCCAGTCCAGTCCGGGTCCCTGTCCCAGGAGCTCCCTAGGGTCTGGAGGCCTTCAGGAGAAGCCCCTGGTTACCTTGCACTATCACCCCAGAAGCGATCTTCCAAAACCCTTCTTCATATCCTGCTGAAGAGACTAGGGGGAAGTCAGCAGGTGCAGCGAGTGGCGTGTGAGTCGTATGTTGTGCGTCACAGTGGCCCAGATGCAGCCATCGATTTTTCTTTATTGTGTTCCTTCATATTCAAAGCCGCCATGCATTGTAAAGTAATTATTGAATGGTATCCTCAAGGTAGCTTAACACAAATATCATTCTAATGCGAGGGATTGATTTTCAATACTTTCAAGTGGCTTTCTCCCTTGTGCCTCAGGATCAGCTATAAGACGGCGTATCGGCGCGGCCTCCGGACCATGTACCGACGGAGGTCCCAGTGCTGTCCCGGCTACTATGAGAACGGAGACTTCTGCATACGTACGTGGGAGCCATCTCCCTGGGGATGGAGGGGGAGGGGAGGGAACCCAGAGGAAGGGAGGTAGGGCTGTCAGCCAGATCCTGGGGAGCTGGCCTCGGCTGACCTGGGGGCTCCAGAAGTCCCTGTCTGCTACCAGCTCTGAGGGGATCAATGGGTCTGGTACAAACATGTGAATGCAGATTTGGCCCTCCAGTCGATCTCCTAAGAGGATTGGATGGACTCCAGTCAGTTCTAGGCTTTCCTGGGGTCAGGAGAGAAGTGGACACTTTTGAAGCGTGGGGAAGAAGGGCTGAGTGCCTGGTGCAGATCTGAAGGGCCCCAGAAGGCTTTGCTGGATGGAAGTAGACATGGATGGATCAGTGGGTGGAGAGATAGATGGGTGGAGGGAGGGATGGAGGGTGGAAGGGAGGAAGGAAGACAGGCTGGTTCACTGGGTGGCAAGAGTAAGAGAGATCACAAGGGGCTGGTTCTAGGAAGTGGGAGCATTTCCAAAAAGGATCAGGAGACCTAAGGACAAGGTAGGTACGAGGGCTGAGTTTCTGGCACCTGTAGACCCTCTGGGGGGGAGGGAAGCTCTGTGCACTGGGAGATACCCAGGAGTCTGCAGATCTGGGGTCTGGTCCCAGCTTCCCAGGGATGTGCCTTTGGGCAAGTCACTTAACCTCTCAGTGGGGACGATTTAGGGTTAGAGTCTGTTAGAGTCCAGTGGACTCTTTCCCACCACCTCTGACAGGTGCATTGGGGCCAGTATGGAGCTCTCCAGGGGGCAGTGGAGTTTTGCCTCAACTGTGGAGACTGTCAGAGAAACTGGGAGCCCCCCCCATTAATGACAGAGGGGAATCCACCCCCAAAGCTTCTGCCTCTTCATTTGGAGGCAGATTTGGAGAGTGAGTCTCCTTGTTAGCATTCTCCTGGCCCTTTGGTTAGTAGAATGAGCCAGCACCAGAAAGCTGGTATGGGCAGGGTGGGCGTGTTAGTGTTGGGAATGAAATGACGATTTTCCCCTCTTGATCTTACATATCCCCTCTTGCTGGAGAAGCTCGATTCTAATTGCATTACAGGAGTGAATGAAAAATGCTCCCACAGATGGGTTCTGTAGTGATGGCTTTGCAGGAAACATACAAAGATACTCACTCAAAGTCATCCACAAAAGGCTGTGTCTTAGGAACAGGGCAGAGGACTAGGCTGGGACAAGGCATTCGCCAATGGGGCTCCTATGGGGACCTGAGTGGAGAAATGAGATGATGATCGAGGTTTTCCTGCTGCTGCTCTGTCTGCCCAGAGGAAAGCGAGAGCCAGGCGTGGGATGTGACACAGGACTCCTAGAGCTGAGCAGAATGGATGTGAGCGGCCCTTCAGGGGCCACAAGGATGGACTCAGGGAAATGCTAAAGAGAATTCAGTTGTCAGCACGGGGTTCCAGAAATGGAGCAGCACATTCCTTTTCTAATTTCCATTAGCAGTTGTTGGTAAAGCTCTTGGAAAATGAAGAGCTGGACAGAAGCACTAAGTATCCTGATTGCACAGACCCGGTCTTGCTGACTAGGAAGGGCGGCTTATAACCTCCCACTTACTCCTTATGTAATAGCCGGGCACTGCCTGCAGGGCTGGTGGCCTCAGGCCAGCCCACCTCCAGGAAGCCAGCTGGAAAAGCCAATTTTAGGACTGAAGGCTCTTCCTGAAGGGGGACAGGAGTGTCAGCAGTGACATGGGTCACTGTGGCACATGGGGTGCCAGTAGTGATGACCCAGAGGGGCAAGTGTCCCCCAGCTCTGGGTTTGAGTCTTAGCTCTGTCCCTACGAACGTCTTCCTCTTTACGCTCATCGTCCTGGTCATCAGAGCACAGCCCCACGCCAGGCACCATCCTGATCACTTTATGTACATGACTGCATCGGTTCCTCACAATAGCCCTCTGAAGTGGGTACCCTGCTCTCTCCCATTTTACAGATGGAGAAACTGAGTCACAGAGTGATTAAGTGACTTGACCAGGATTATACACCTAGAAAGTGGTAGAACTGGGATTTGAACGTAGGCTGTCTGGCTCTGGAGTCTGCTCTGACCCATTTGGGAGGGCTACTTCTCTCTCTCCATGAGCCTAGGCAAGAGGCCATCTCTTGGTATCTCAGTTTCCATTCATCTAAAATGGGGGTAGTAACAGCTGTATCACCAGGCACAGGGTCGGGACTTAATAAAGGCCAGCTCCCTACTCCATGACTTTGGGTCTTACCACTTCTTCACTCTTGGCTTTTGTTTTAATTTCTCGCACCTCCATGGACCCTCTCCCTGTGAAAATGCGCATGACACGTATAAACGTACGTGCACACACACAGCTCTGTGCACACAGTTTCAGTGGGCTAATGGAGCCCTAAATCCCTTATAGAGTCTTTGGACCCACAGTAAGTCATTTCCACCATATGTTCACATTTATCCATTTAATTTATACTGTTGCTTGTTGGCTTGTTTTCTACGTGAATGCTGGGGACATGGATGCACACAAGAGACGGTTGTTACTCAAGGAGCTTGCAGCCTCGTGGAAAGAGATGGTCTGGTACACAGATACCTGGTCCCAGAGTTACAGGTGCTTCAGTGGGCATCTTGATGAAGTAGGGCCGAATAGAATGGAAAGACCATCTTCTTTAGTCATGCCCTCTTACCCAGTGTTACTGAGGAATCTGGGTGGCTCAGTCAGTTAAGCATCTGCCTTCAGCTCAGGTCATGATCCCAGGGTCCTGGGATTGAGCCTTGCACTGGGGTCCCTGCTCAATGGGGCGTCTGCTTCTCCCTCTCCCCCTACTTGTGTCCTCTCTCAAATGAATAAATAAATAAACAGAATCTTAAAAAATGAGGAATCAGCTCTAGACAGAAGACTGAAGGGGGAACCCTCGCAGGGTGTTTAACCCTGTATTTATTAGACGCCCACGGGGGCCCACACATAGCGCTATGCCTTGGGATAGAGGAGAAGTGTTAGACATAGCTCCTGCCTTCGTGGAACTTCCAGTCTTGTTGGGATGGCCAGGCCACTCGCAGAAGAACCATGGATGACAGCCGGAGGAGAGTGTGTGAAAGAACACAGATGGGACATGCCAGGCCCGGGAGAGCACTGTGACCTGCTCTCCCCTCAGGAGGCTTCGGGGGAATTTGGGCTGGATGGAATGGTGTCTTTGGACATGGAGGGGACAGGGAACCCCATCAGCAAAGATGGGGAGGTGGCTGGCCTGGCTGCGGGAGGCAGATCTGGGCTGGGAGGCTGGCCGGGTGAGGCACTTACTAATTTCCCTCCGGGCCACCGTTTTAAGCAGCGCAGCCTGGCTGGCTCAGTCCACAGGAGTGTGCTGGCTCACCCCACTGGAGGCTAGAAGTCCAAATCAGGGTGTCGGCGTGGTTGGTTCCTTCTGCTCTAGGCCCCTCCCCTCGCTTCTGGTAGCTCCGTGGCTCGTGGCGCCGGAACTCCATTCTTTACACGGCCTTCTCCCCGAATGTGTGTCTGTCTCCAGGTTTCCCCTTTATGGAGGGACACCTGTCAGACTGGATTAAAGCCCACCCTAACAACCTCATTTGAACGTGATTACCTCTGTAAGACCCAGCTCCAAATAAGGTCACATTCTGAAGAATAGGGGGTTAGGACTTGAACATAGGAGGACATAGTTGAGCCCATGAATAGGTGAGGGTCGGTCATTGCTGGCGTTCTCTTGTTCCTGCTTATTGTAATGGGAGGAAAGGAAGGGAACCAGCCAGGCTTTATCAGTTGCCCAGGAGTGAATGGAGACCCTAGCGTCAGGGAGCTTGCGTGAGGGATGGTGCCCCAGGTGCTGGGTGCCAAATGAGAAGCTTGCAAACCCAGAAGCATCCAGGAGTCGATGCCCTGCAGCCCCTCCCCCTCCACTTCTTTTCCACCCCTTGGGTGAAGAACCTGGTGAGAACCCATCTGATGCCAAGAGTCCTCAGGACTGTGCACGGGGATATCTGGGCAGGGCGGGGTGGGGAGAGGGGACATCATCCTCCCTCCAAAACCACCTTCCTGGAGCCCATTTCTTGGCAGAGACTAGAGGGACACTGTCTCGGAGTAAAAACCTTGGCTGGCTCTGCCATCAACTCACTGTGCAATCTTGGGAAAGTCCCTTTGCCTCTCTGGACCCACTGTGGCATAGGACAGATAATCCCCGTGCACGGAAGGAGAAAGATAAAACAATGAGTGAGTGTGTCCTGCATAGACCTTGATTCAGATGCAAACTCTTTGTACCATTTCCCCTGCCCCAGAACTGCCATCCTTATCCCAGAGCCCTTGGCAACCCTTCTAGAACCTTCTGGGCCAGAACTGCCCACCTGCTCCATTAGCTACAGATACAGCTGAATCCTAGCTCCTCTTCATCACCCAGGCACCCAATATTTCCTGCGGGTCACCAGGCACAAGCACAGTTCTTTCTTTCTCCTTTCTTGAGAGAGAAGGCAGTGGTCATTTTTGCCTCACAGGTGGAGCTGATTTTATCACTTAGGGAGTGGGGTTAGAGCTATTTCGAGAAAATGCTCTTTGATTCTTAGGTGGTATCTGACTAGACAGGCTTGGTTATGACACTGTAACGATCAACACCCAAATCCCCGTGGCTTAAAATGATAGATAAAATGATAGATGATTTTATTCCTTGTTCATTTGACGTGCCGTCCTCTGCCAGGACCCAGGCTGTTGGAGCAGGGACTCTGCAGTGTTGTTGGCTGCTGAGCAGAGAGAAGAGGGCTTTGCTCAATGCCACACAGATGCCTCGGTAATCACAATTCACAATTCACTCAAGTGTATTATCAGCACCTGATTATCTCATATAAAAATCACCTGGAAGACGTGTTCTAACTTCTAACAGACTGAGGAGCCCCAGCGTCGGTCTCAGACTCAGAAGACTTGGGGAGGGGACTGGAGAATGTGCGTTTTTTTGTTTTTTTTTTTTAAGATTTTATTTATTTATCAGAGAGAGAGAGAGAGACAGAGAGGGCATATATGCAGAGGGAG